GGGGGTAGAATAGAGAGGAGGGTCTGGGTGCGAAATCTCCATATCTCCATACCTTTACACAGGTTCTGTCTGTCACCTAATTTAAGGGATGGGGAGATGTCAGTTTCTTCCCAATTTACTTTTGAAGCTCCCTATACTGTTGCTTCTGAGCAGGAAAACTCTCTTTGTGAAATGAAGGCAGGCAGAAAAGGGCTCCAGGAGTTGATGGCCTTCTCTTCAGGGAACGTTCTTCACCAGAGGCTGGAATAAACCTCCCCATAAGTAGCCTGTGGGCTCAGAATTATCTTCCTTTTGCATCTCCATCCCCAGCATTTGCTTCTGGGGTTTCCCTGTCCGGCAGGTCTCTTTGTAAAGCGAATGACTCTGAATTGTCTCTTCCAGACCGAATCATCCTCAACTATGGTACTTTACGCTCCCCCTGGCAGCGAGACCCTCACGGTCTGCATCTCTCCCAGCTCCTGTGAGGGTGGAGGGTGAGCTCAGAGGGAAGAGAGACGCCTCAGCAGGGCGTGGGTGGCAAGGGTACAGGCGAGGCTCTCCCTGCTGGCAAGAAAAGTCCCAGGAAGAGGAGCCGTGCCCACCCTGGCTCCTTGACCCCACTGCACTGGGGCTCCCTCTTGGCCCATTGAGCTTGGAGGGAGAAGAAGGCCTGCTGGGATGGTCCGTGTGTTGTCATCTTTCACCGTCCAGAACAACGAGATGGCTTTCTTTCATGGCCTTGTGGCAAGAGAGAGAGAGGGAGTCCACGGAAACCAACCTTGGCCGTAGGGAGGGAGAGAGAGCCATGCAAGGTTCGTGGATGGTGATTTGTGGGCCAAATGCTTTTTTAGAAGTGGCCGAATTACTGCCTCTTTAAAGGTGGTAGGGACCACTCCCTCTCTTAAAGAGGCGTTCGCAGCCTCCTGGACACAGGTGCGAACCCCCCTGGCAGATCTTCTAATTAGCCAAGGTGGGCAAGGGTCGATGGGCAAATGTCAGCTGTAGTGGACTACCACAGACTCAAACTACCAAGGGTTTTCTAATACTCTCAGGTACTTGTTTGAGTGTCATATCTATGGCCTTGCTTGTTCATTTTGGTAATCGTGATACCACTCCTGAAATATCTCATATACTTGAAAACCCTTTTAGGGTTGCTGTAACTTACACAAACTTTGTTCTCCTGTAAATGGGCTCAAGATTATTCACATTCATCCACTCAGGATCCCTATTTGCAGAATTCAGGCTGATAATCTGAAGAGGCCTCATTCCACTCTGAACATTTATTTCAGTTCCAAGGAAACTTTCATACAATAATGATGTTAGAATCATATTAAAACCATCCCAGTAAAATTAAAACAATCAAAGATTAAAATAATCAAATCATCACAGAACACAAGAAAAGAAGTTGCACATATCATGTCTTCTCTCTGTAATGGTGTCAGGCTGATAATCTGAAGAGGCCTCATTCCACTCTGAACATTTATTTCAGTTCCAAGGAAACTTTCATACAATAATGATGTTAGAATCATATTAAAACCATCCCAGTAAAATTAAAACAATCAAAGATTAAAATAATCAAATCATCACAGAACACAAGAAAAGAAGTTGCACATATCATGTCTTCTCTCTGTAATGGTGTCCCCACCCTCAAAAGCTCATTCAGAGCATCATGCTTGTTAATCAACCACTTATTGCCGTAAAATGCCCTTAGGAATGTGAGTTTTGTGGCGCCATCGGAGAAAGCGAATTCAATGAAGTTGAGGGGATTATGCCCTTTGAAGCCACCATAAGGTTTCTTCCTGAGGTACTTTCATAGGTTCACAACAGCTTCATTCAACATCTCCCTGTATTATGACCCTCCGTATGTTTTCTTCCCTGACTGGACATATGGATGGCATTTAAGAAGTTCATTTCCTGCATGTTTCAAAGTTTCCCCTCTCTGTGCATCTGTTGATGTTTGATGTACTGAGCATTACAACAGAAGATTTCTCCACATTCTTTGCACGGATAGGGATTCTCCTCAGAGCCAATTATTTGTGTTCTAAAAGATCTTTACTTCAACAGAAGTTTTTTGCATATTATTAACATATATCTGATTTCTCCCCAGCATGAATTTTTCGATGACTTGTAAGGGCTGAACTAGTTGTGAAGCTTCTCCCACATTCTTCGCAATGATAGGGTTTCTCCCCTGAATGTGAGTGTTGATGGACTGAGGAACAATTGAAACATTTCCCACATTCTTTGCATGCATATGGATTTTCTCATGAATGAATTTGTTGATGTATTATAAGGTTTCCGATTTGGTTGAAACTCCTCCCACATTCTTCACATTTATAAGGTTTCTCTCCTGTATGAATTCGCTGATGTACTACAAGGTTTGCCTTCTGGCTGAACTTTTTCCCACATTTATTGCACTGATGGGGTTTCTTTCCTGTATGAATTTGCTGCTGAAGGCTAAGATCACTGCTCTGGCAGAAGCATTTCTCACGTTCTTCACAAGAACATGGCTTCTTCTCAGAAGCACAGTACTGATGTACTTTAAAATTTGAGGAATAACTGAAACATTTTCCACATTCTTTGCATATATAGGGCTTTTCTCATGAGTGAATTCGTTGATGTATTATAAGATTTGCAATTTGACTGAAACTCCTCCCACATATTTTACACTCATAGGTTTTCGCTCCTGTATGAATTTGCTGGTGTACTTGAAGATCACCGCTCCGGCAGAAACATTTCCCACATTCTTCACAAGAATTTGGTTTCTGTCACGGATTTGGCGACAGGAAAAATGCAGAGTTATTGGAGACGGTGTATTTATTGTATATTTACAAGTATTTACAGGCAGGCATCACATCAAAATCACGAAGACCTTCTGTTCCTCTGTAAAATGAACATTCATTAACTGCAGTTCATTAAACAGTCCCTTCATGGTTTGTAGATGCTTGGAAGCACATTCCCCAGACTGCATTAGACACTTATACAGCCTTCTGGTTAGAGAGATCTTCGTGCCTGCTGTTTCTCTTAAGTAAATGTTTCTTCATCTGTCCCAGATTGCCTTGGCTGTGGTCAGTCCTTGCACATGCACTAACTGTTCGTCTTCAACTGACAAAATGAGGGTACTCAGAGCCCTCTCTTCCTCTTCTTGTTCCTCCTCAGTTAACTGTGCTGGAAGATTACTCACATATGACCATAAAGACTCTCTTCTTAACAGCATCTCTGCCTTCACTGCCCATGTTCTATAGTTTTTGTCATTCAGCCTGTTTATTGTTAATCCACCTATGCCTCCTGGGCTCAATGCCATCCTGCCTTCTCTTACAGTTCTCTGTTTCCTTTCCCCTCCTGGTCTAACAGACAAAATGTCTTCTCCCAAGTCTTCTATGTCACTGCCACTTTCTCTCTCTTCATTTACATACTTCACACACGTTACTCACCACCATCTTGACTTTAAATGGCTTGCGCAGCACACGTTGCTGGGCCCATAACATCTGTCACAGATTTGGTGACAGGAAAAACGCAGAGTTATTGAAGACACAAGTTCTTCTTCTTTTGCAAGACGGTTGTATTTACAGTATATTTACAAGTACTTACAGGCAGGCATCACATCAGCATGGCAGGAACTCTTTACACAAACTGACATAGTGGCTAGCAGCAAATGGTGGAGAAGGAAGAGGGTGATACACAGACACTGTTCACTTATATACATATACATGGCATCTCTAGTCCAATCAGAAGACACATGACTTCATCCTTTGCACCTGGTGTCTTCTTATTTCCAGACATTGCATCATCTTCAGAGTGACTCAGCATACTCACATCTGTGCACAATGGCAGCTCGTTAATAATACATTTTTTCAGGTTCAGGCCTACAAAATTTCTATATTCTGACAGTTTCTCCCCTGAATGCTGATGTACTGTAAAAGCTGAGGAATCACTGAAACATTTCCCACATTCTTTGCATATATAGGGTTTCTCTCTTGTATGAATTCGCTGATGTACTTGAAGACGTGAACTGCATCTGAAGGCCTGTCCACATTCAGGACATTTGTATGCTTTCTCTCCTGTGTGTATACTTTGATGGCTTTCAAGTTCTGAACTTCTCTTGAAGCTCTTGCCACACTCTATGCACTTGCAGATTTTCTCTTCTTTAAGGTCAGAGCTAAAGCATTTGTGTTTCTCTCCTGTGTGAAATCCTGTGTCTTCTGGGCTCCATCTGAAACCTTCTCCATCCTCCAAACAGTGACACAAATTTATCTCAGCGTGACATGTTGGACATTTCACTGGACCTTTCCTCAGAGGGATGTTTTGTGGATACTCTGAGCTTTGAAGAGCACTGATGCTCCAGTTTGTTGTTTTTCCCATTTTATCATCAGAGGCAACGGCACTCGGATATCTGTGAGATATGTCTCTCCTCTAGTCTGCTTGATTCTGCCTCAGTGATTCATTTCCTTCCCAGCAGCTCTCATTTTCATCCTCCCCTCTTTCTGGCAATGTCCCTTGGAGTCTTACTTCCTTCTCTTTTCCCTCATCTGCTCAAAGGAGAGAATTCATAGTGAACTGAGGATCTAGTGAGTTTAAGGGGGAAATGGTGCCAGAGAAAAAAGTTTATTGCATTCATCAACCTGCTTTGTATTCAGAAAAACTCACATTCCTTTCCTAAAATTTGTTGTTGTTATTTAGTCGTTAAGTCATGTCCAACTCTTCGTGACCCCATGGACCAGAGCACACCAGGCCCGCCCATCTTCCACTGCCTCCCAGAGTTTGGTCTGGGAGGCCAATTTTTAGATTTAGCGAAAGACACAAGAGGTTCAGTGGTGAAGAAGTGAACGGTCATATCCTGAAAGAGAGGAACAAATTCAAAAAGACCTTGATAAGCTGAAGCATTGGGCTGAAAACAACAGAATGAAATTTCACAGGGATAAGTGCAAAGTTCTCCACCTAGGGTAAATAAATCCCAAAAATGAACAGTTACAAAAGGGGGGGAAACTTGGCTCAGTAATATTATGAGTGAGAAGGATTTTGGAATTGTTGTAGATCATAGGCTGAATATGAACCAAGAGAGCAAGCTGGCTGCATAACAAGGCAAGTATCATCTCCAAATCCCATGAGGTACTAGTTCTCCTCTATTCAGCACTGGTTAGGCCTCATCTTGAGATCCGGCTCCAGTTTCTGGACACTGTATTTTAAGAGTGATGCCAACAAGCTGGAGGCAGTTGGGAAGAGGGATATATACCTTGTAAATATTCAAGGGCCTCTAAAAGGAGGGGAAAAAGGATCATCTGCCTCATCCTCTTTTTGCTTGACTCCTGCTTGTAGCTGCTTCTGTTCATCCTTAACAGGAGCCTCTCCTTCCATGGGTGTTGATCAAAGGTCGACCTTCATCTGTCACCTTGAACAACAGAACAGAAGCTTTTATAGAGTAACAGTCGGGACACCAGCCCTAACCTCATTTATAAGTTCATTTCCTTTTGAAGGGAGAATCTAAATCAGCTATTTATAGACGGACGCCACAATGCTACCACCTTACCTCCATTAACAGAAAATAATAAGGATGTGGCATTTGGATTTCCTGCACTCCAACTCCCCAATTTATCCCAGAATTCCTCCTCTGGAGTAATTTTGGTAGTCCCAGTCTACAATTTCAGACATTTTGTATTTTCCCTCAAGGCCTAGTCTTCAGAGGCTGCACTATAGATCTCCAGTTCCTGGTAGTTTTTGGAAGGCACTGTCTATATAGAAGCAAAAGAGCTGTAAGATTACACCCAGGAGGCATTGCAACAGGAAATGAATGACGTAAGAAGCCCTGCTAAATATGAAGAAAACACATGCGTCTGAAGGTGTGAAGGAATTCTGGGAAGTGGCATCCAAAAAAATCTAAAGGGGACATCCCTAGAAGAGAACCCTCTCTCCAGCCCCACCACAAGTATGTCGTACATAGAGATGGTCTCCCTCTGGCAATATTCGCCCATTGCAAAGTTATCTCCTCTGTTTCACCTTTTGTTCTCAGAAGCCCCATATTTTCCTCGTACTTACAAAGGTGACGCCCAACTGCCCAGGAAAGCTCACAATCCAGCTAGAGAGAAGCAAAAAAATATGTGGGAAAGGAATCAATAGAGGACTCACCCAGTGGGAGAATTTCTAGCAGCAAGAAACAGAGCAAAAGCCAGCACCCATATCTGGCTAAGGTGGTGATAGGGGTCTGGAAATCTGTGTTTCCTTCGGCTGGTGACTCATTACTAATTGTAACTCTTCTCTTTTTCCTTTTATCATGCCCACATTCCTGCCTTGAAATTGAACCACCTGCCAAGAATTACCCTAAGATTTGCAAGGAAATCTGGAGTTTGTAGTTCAAAGCAAAAGAGAGATTCAGGTATGAAGAAAATCTTTTTTCTAAGGGAAAAAACATTTGAGAAGGCTTTTTTTTCCTTGATGTCTTCATTTTCATATTTTTATCAATAATATTCCTGATTTTATTCATTCATTTTCTGAGCTTCCACATGTTGACCATGTTTGATGGGATTTCAAAAATTAAAGAGCACAAACGCACACAATGGCTTAAATCTTCTGGCTTAGTGTAGTATGTTGTGCTAGAGTAGGCCCATTGAATCAGTAGGGTTTTGGTGAGTCAACTGCATAAGTTCCATTGATTCAAGTGGTCCTACTCTAGTACTCTAGTTGTTAATTCCTCTGCTGAAACAAGTAGCAACTCAAGTAAATCCATCTGAATCCATTGGCCCTACAGAGGAGTTGACTCTCCCGATCCCCACTTGCTTGAACAAGCCCCACTAGTGCAACATATGATGTGAAGCAACAGGATTTTAGCCATCCACTGGAAATTACGATTGACATTTCAGTTCTCATCACAGTTTGTTTCCCAAGGTAAGTAGACGAATACCAGCCAGCATGCTATGCCTTGCCCCAGAGAAGGTTTTCAGCATGTTCTGGTCTCAGTATGTTTAGCTCACTCCAGGATTTCTTGTTCTTGTAATAGTTGTCATTATTGTTCTCTGCTTCACGCTCATGGCAACACGTAGAGACCTTCAAAAAGGCTTCTAAGAGACCTAAAAAAGCAAGACCGGTTTCCTTTATGGGCTCCATCTCTCTCTCATTTGGTCTTCCTCTTTTCCAGTTAGTCTTGTCTCCTCTTTGAAGGGTCCAGTTCATACAGTACACATAAAATATATCTTAGCCTAACCGTAGCCATTTTGCTTTCTGTAACTTGCTTTGCTATAGGAATGTTTTGCTTAGGCAGTCAAGAATGAACAAGGGTGGCAGGGGTGTGTCCGTCAAAGTTTCTTCCCATTTACAATTACAGTATTTCTAAATGAGACGTCTGTCCTTGGGAAGGAGAGTATCTTATATGGATAAGTAAATTAGTAGGAATGTGTACCGATTACAGAAACCCCTTCCATTCCTCCACCTCCTCCCAACCCCCTTGGTCCCTCTTTCATGTTATGCCTTATAAAAATGTATACTTTTGTATCAGGGGGCACGCTTCTTCTCTGCATGTTTTCGGCGTGTAAAGTTTATGCTTATTTTCAGCTGAAAATAAATATTTATTGGATCTCTCTGTCTCTGGCTGATTGATTAATGTGTTATAGACAGGCAAAAAAACCAGGAATTGGTCCTGTGGATTCTTCACCTTCAAATCTATTTATTAATTAGGTGAACCCACCTGTCAAGAGAAGCCTCTTTCTCTATGGGTCCTGATGAGTGTTGGCCCTCATTTAGCACCTGCAACAGGAGAGAAGAATCCAACAGTTGAGACGCCAGGACTCACCTTGGTGAACCAGTCCCATTGCTTGGAATCCTAGAATCCTAGAAAAGTGAAGATGGAAGGGGCCTATAAGATCATCCAGTCCAACCCCTTGCTTAAGGCAGGAGTTCAATCAAAGCATATCTGCCAGGTAATTATCTAAAGGTCAGTCTAAACCAGGTGCTTGCAGAGGTAGAGGCAAAGCCTTCCTCTCCCTACTGAATTCTTGAATAGGGATGGGGCATTTGAATTTCTTACACTTCAGCTCCCCTAATTATCCAAGAATTTTCTTGGCAGAATTTTGGGAGGTTGGATATGTATTTTTCTATGGGAACAGAGCAATGAGTTGGATTAGCTGCAAGCAAGATCGCATAGCTCACTCTCTCCAGAAGTGGAGAACATCTCAGCTGCAGCAGCTTGTGACGAGCCTGCAAGGCTCAAGCTCTTACTTGCAGTGAAGCAAAAAAGGGGGAACAAGAGAAAGTAACTTGGCTTCCCTCACCGCGGACACACCGTTTCTCCACAATTTGGGAGAACTTATTTGGAGGGGATTAGCTGCAAGCAAGATCGCATAGCTCACTCTCTCCAGAAGTGGAGAACATCTCAGCTGCAGCAGCTTGTGACGAGCCTGCAAGGCTCAAGCTCTTACTTGCAGTGAAGCAAAAAAGGGGGAACAAGAGAAAGTAACTTGGCTTCCCTCACCGCGGACACACCGTTTCTCCACAATTTGGGAGAACTTATTTGGAGGCTGCCATTCATTTTTACGTTTTCTTAATGCTTTGATTATTGATTATTTTGAAGGTCTGTGTTTTGATCCAGCGCTGCCCATCGTGTGCTCTCTGTGCATCGCTTTGTAGTGTTAGGATGGTTGCGGCGGGGGGGGGGTTAAGTTATTGCAGAATAGAAATGTCCTAATATATCAATCGTTAAATCTTCCCTGGCACACCTTAAGGGATGGAGAGGACACCGAAATGGGTGTGAGGTGGCCTGTTCTTCTCCACACTCACAAAGGAGGGCGTGGGAGCAAAATCCCCATATCTTTAGGTTTACACGGCTTCCGTCTGTCACCTAATTTAAGGGATGGGGAGAAGGCAGGCAGAAAAGGGCTCCAGGAGATGATGGCCTTCTCTTCAGGGAACATTCTTCACCAAAGGCTGGAATAAATATCCTCAGCGAGAGGATCTTTTTGCACCCCATAAGGAGCCTGTGGGCTCAGAATCATCTTTTCCTTTTGCATCTCCATCTTTTGCATCTTCATCCCCAGCATTTACTTCTGGGGTTTCCCTGTCCAGCAGGTCTCTTTGTAAAGCGAATGGCTCTACATTGTCCCTTCCAGACCAAATCATCCTCAACTACTGTACTTTGCGCTCTCCCTGGCAGCGAGACCCCCACAGTCTGCATGTCTCCCAACTCCAGTGAGGGTAGAGGGTGAGCTCAGAGGGAAGAGAGAAGCCTCAGCAGGGCGTGGGTGGCAAGGGTGCAGGCGAGGCTCTCTCTGTTGGGGAGAAAAGTCCCACGGAGAGGAGCCATGTCCACCGTGGCTCCTTGACCCCACTGCACCGGGCCTGCCTCTGGACCCCCTGGGCTTGGAGGGAGAGGAAGACATGCCGAGATTATCCGTGTATTGGCATCTTTCAGCGTCCAGAACAACGAGATGGCTTTCTTTCACGGCCCCGTGGCAAGAGAGAGAGGGAGTCCACGGAAACCTACCTTGGCAGTAGGGAGGGAGAGAGAGCCGTGTGAGCTTCGTGGATGGTGACTTGGGGGCCAAATGCTTTTTTTGGAGTGGACGAATTACCGCCTCTTTCAAGGTGGTAGGGACCACTCCCTATGTTAAAGAGGCGTTCACAGCCTCCTGGACCCAGGTGCTAACCCACCTGGCAGATCTTCCAATTAGCCAAGGTGGGCAAGGGTCAGCTGTGGTGGACTACCACAGACTGAAATTGCCAAGGGTTTTCTAATACTCTCAGGTACTTGTTTGAGTGTCATACCTATGGCCTTGCTTGCTCTCTGGTTCAATAGTTCATTTTGGTAATCGTGATACCACTCCTTAAATATCTCCTATACTTGAAAACCCTTTTAGGGTTGCTGTAAATTACTCAAACTTTGTTCTCCTGTAAATAGGCTCAAGATTATTCACATTCATCCACTCAGGATCCCTATTTGCATAATTCAGGCTGATAATCTGAAGAGGCCTCATTCCAGTCTGAACATTTATTTCAGTTCCATGGCAACTTTCATAAAATAATGAAGTTAGAATCATGTTAAAACCATCCCAGTAAAATTAAAACAATCAAAGATTAAAATAATCAACACATCACAGAACACAAGGAAAGAAGTTGCAAAATCATGTCTTCTTTCTGTAACAGAGTTCCCACTCTCAAAAGCACATTCAGAGCATCATGCTTGTTAATTATCGACTTATTGCTGTAAAATGCCATTAGGAATGTGAGTTTTGTGACGTCGACAGAGAAAGCGAATTCAATGAAGTTGAGGGGATTATGCCCGTTGAAGCCACCATAAGGTTTCTTTCTGAGGTACATTCATAGGTTCACAACAGCTTCATTCAACACCAGAGCTCTCCCTGTATTATGACCCTCCGTATGTTTTCTTCCCTGACTAGACATATGGGTGGAGATCAAGAAGTTCATTTTCTGCACGTTTCAAAGTTTCCCCTCTCTGTGCATCTGTTGATGTTTGATGTACTGAGCATTACAACAGAAACTTTCTCCACATTCTTTGCACGGATAGGGATTCTCCCTAGAGTCAACTATTTGTGTTCTACAAGATCTTTACTTCAAGAGAAATTTTTCCCATATTATTAACATTTATTTGATTTCACCCCAGCATGAATTTTTCAATGCATTCTAAAGGCTGAACGAGTTGTGAAGCTTCTCCCACATTCTTTGCAATGATATAGTTTTTCTCCTGAATGAATTCGGCGATGTATTATAAGTTTTTCCATTTGGTTGAAACTCCTCCCACATTCTTCACATTTATAGGGTTTCTGTCCTGTATGAATTTGCTGATGTACTACAAGGTGTGACTTATAGCTGAACTTTTTCCCACATTCATTGCACTGATGGGGCTTCTCTCCTGTATGAATTCGCTCATGTACTACAAGGTTTGCATTGTGGCTGAACTTTTTCCCACATTCATTGCACTGATGGGGCTTCTCTCCTGTATGAATTCTCTGGTGTACTTGAAGTCCAGGCTTCTGGGAGAAACATTTCCCACATTCTTTACAAGAATATGGCTTCTTCTCAGAATGACAGTACTGATGTACTTTAAAATTTGAGGAACGACTGAAACATTTTCCACATACTTTGTATATATAGGGCTTTTCTCATGAGTGAATTCGTTGATGTATTACAAGCTTTGCAATTTGTCTGAAACTCTTCCCACATTCTTTACACTCATAGGGTTTCTCTCCTGTATGAATTCTCTGGTGTACTTGAAGTCCAGGCTTCTGGGAGAAACATTTCCCACATTCTTTACAAGAATAAGGTTTCTCCCCTGAATGGGAGCGCTGATGTACTCTAAAATTTGAGAAATCACTGAAACATTTCCCACATTCTTTACAAGAATATGGTTTCTCCCCTGAATGCAGGCGCTGATGTACTTTAAAAGCTGAGAGATGACTGAAACATTTTCCACATTCTTTACACTCATAAGGTTTCTCTCCTGTATGAATTCGCTGATGTACTTGAAGATGTTCATTGCGTCTGAAGGCCCGTCCACATTCAGGACATTTGTATGTTTTCTCTCCTATGTGTATTCTTTGATGGCTTTCAAGTTCTGAACTTCTCTTGAAGCTCATGCCACACTCTGTGCACTTACAGACTTTCCCTTCAGAATGCATTGGTTGAGGTGCTTTAAGGTCAGAGCTAAAGCATTTGTGTTTCTCCCCTGTGTGAAATCTTGTATCTTCTGGGCTGCATCTGAAATTTTCTCCATGCTCCAAACAGTGACACAGATT